ATTGTATTTTAGGGTGATATCAGTTTGTTTATCCACTCACCGGTTGAAAGATACTTGTTTTTTGTTCTACTATTGGGCATTTGTAAATAAAGCTACTATGAACTCTTGAATACAAATTTCCAAGGGAACAGGACACATTCTCTAGGTTAAATAGTAAGGCATGGGACTACAGGGTCAAAGGATAAGTATATACTTATGAGAAAAATGCAAAACCATTTTCCAGAGTGACAGGCCACGTTGCATTTCACAAGCAATACGTAAGAGTTCCAGTTACACTGCCACTTAATCTGCAATTCGTAGGGTCAGTATTTAATTGTAGTTTTAATAAGTGTGCAGTGGCATTTTGTCATAGTTTTAATGATGTTTAATGATGTTGCACATCCTTCAATGTGTGTTTATTAGAGCCAATACATGCTTTTAATTAAAATATTTTGAAAGATCATTTTAACATTGGGATGTTTTATTTGTTTTCCTCCTGAAGTTTTGAGTGTCAATAATATGGAAAGAAGTCAGTTGATGGATGGGTGATTTGTAAATATTTTATCCAAGCCTGTTACTTGGCTTTTTACTCTCTCAGCAATGTCCTTCTAGAAGCAAGAGTTTTCATTTAGATTAAATCCTATATATCAATTGTTCTTTTTTAATTGAAGTATACTTTTGTACAATATGGTGTGGGTAAAATTGTAGCATTTCCAGAATATCTCGCCTGGCTTTAGTATATCTGCATATCAATAGGCGTTCAGAGGTGGAAAGAAGTATGGCTTTAGTTCATTTGCATCTTTCCTCAGGGGTGGAGAAGTTCATCTCCATATCAGTGGGTGATTACCTGGGCAACAGAGGGCTTATAGGTACCTGAGAGGTAAGGGGGAGGTCCGGTGTTGTGGCTGCTGGAGCAGAGAAGAAAGATGGACTGGGACTGCAGTTTGTGAGCAATAAACGGGTTTTAAACTTTATTTCTCCCTTTGACTATTTTAGTTTTTAGGGGTATTTTGCCCCGGGATTTCCTTTCCCTGGACCTACAATTGGCATAGTATTGGCAGGATTCCTGTGAACCCTAAATCTGTCATAATGGGTGCAACCTTTGGGAGGGCCACCCGTAGAAATGATGGGGCCATGGAGTGGTGTGGCACAGACACCTACAGTATATCATGTGACTGGCCACTTGCCTTTGGTATCCCCAGGGAATGATGAAGCAGACACATTGGCCCAGATGCACTGGCTAGAAGGAAAGCCTGCCTCTGATGCGGCCCAATGGCTACATCAGTGCTTGTTGCACATGGGGCAAAAGACAATGTGGGCCCATTGGTGTGGCTTGCCTTTCACCTTTGAAGAAGTCAGCCGAGCCCAAAAGGAGTACCCCACACGTTGTGCAGATCAGCAAACCACCAAGAGGGGCCTAGAGCGTCTCTCTGCAGCCTATGGTGGTTTCCGGTTACTGAGAGTGATCAAGGTTCCCACTTTATTGGATATTTGTTGCAAGGATGGGTGTAGCAATTAGGAGTAAAATGGACGTGTCCCTGCACATTTCAGCACATGGATCGGCGATGGCTGTCTCTTCTGGCACCTTGGGGAAAAGGCCTGGAAGCTGGCTTCCTGTGTATTCCTGTAATAACAGCAAATTGGCCCCCGACAATCATGGCTATTTCCTTCTACAGTCTTTGTATCCTGGATGCGCCCCCTGGCTGCAGCTGCCGCGTGATGGCTGGAATGGACGAGTTTTGGACTTAATCTGCATGGGACTTTGAACCTAGCTGAATCCTCTGGCTTGAGAATAATGATTGTGTGGCTGTGGTCAAGAAAATAATGTTTAAAGAGAGGCTTGACTTTATCTAATGTTTGGTAAAAGTTTTGTGAGCAATCTAGCATGATTGTTGGGAATGAGTAAACAAGTGTAGAAATGTATTTTGTGCTTAGCGAGAGATTGTGCTGTAAAGTACACTTACTTAATCTGCATAGGCTGAATCCTCTGGCTTGAGAATTATCAAAATTTTATTGCTGTTGCTATTGCATGTTACTAGTGTGGGGAAGTTGGGGATCCTATGGTCAGGATCCTCACTCGTGGAATGTGGTTACAGTGCTCCAGCTTTCTCACACAGGGACCATTGCGGAAGATTGAAAGTGTGTAGATTGTAAGGCAAGGATCCTGGAAGGGTAGAGTATGGGTAAAAAATTGTAATATTTCCAGAATATCTCGCCTGGCTTTCGTACATCTGCATATCAACAGGTGTTCAGAGGTGTAAAGAAGTAGGCTTTAGTGCATTTGCATTTTTCATCTCCATATCAGTGGGTAATTACCTGGGCAGCAGAGGGCTTATCTGTACCTGAGAGGTGAGGGGGAGGGCTGGTGTTTGTTGCTGTTTTGTAAGGGCCGGAGGGCAGTTTTGTAAGACCCTTTCACCCCAAAGAGTGTTTTGCGGTCAATTTCTTTGGTCACACTGAATCCATAGCGAACTTGCCTGGGCTGAAACTCATTATCAAGACACCCATTAATTGACACTTTGTTTGCTTCCATATCTTGGCTACTGTAAATAATGTGGCAATAAGCATAGGGGAGCATATGTGTTTTCAAAATGGAGATTTTATTTTCCTTGGGTAAATTCCTAGGGGTTGAGATAGTAGATCATATGGTATTTTTATTTTTAGTTTTTTGAAGCAACTCTATACTGCTTTTCACAATGACTGCATCAGTTGACATTCCCACCAACAGTGTAGGAGTTTCCTTTTATCCACATCATTCCCAACACCTGGTATTTCTTCTCTTCTGAACAATGGCTGTTCTAACTGGTGTACAGTGATATCTCAGTGTGGTTTTGATTTGTATTTCCCTCATGATTAGCAATGTGGAGCATCTTTTCATGTGCCTGCTACCCAACTAAATTTCTTCTTGGGAAAAATGTTTGTTCGGGTCCTCTGCCCATTTACAATTGGGTTATTTCTTTTTGGAGAGCTGAGGTCTATGCATTCATTATATTTTTTGGATAACTCCTTATCAGATAAACTATTTAAGAAATATTTTTCCCTGCTGTACATTGCATTTTTTATGGTGTTCTTTGCTGTACATAGCTTTTTAGTTTGATGTCCCATTTGCTCATTTTTTATTTTGTTTCCCTTGCCTGGGGGATGTGTCCTGATACAAATTGCTTCTGCTTATGTTCAAGAGATTTTTGCCTCTGTTTCTTCTAAGAATTTTATGGTTTCATGTCTTACATTTAGGTATTTAATCCATTTGAATTTACTTTTGTGTATGGAGGATAATTCTATTAGAGTAAATGGAAAGCATGTTGTATTATTTTCCAATAAATGGAACCTATTCTTGCAGTTGGCGTGTGACCAAGGAGAGGGACCAAACAGAAAAGCACATAAATAGGGGATATTACCAGAGAGCGCTCCCATGGGAGACAGAAATGACACAGCTCAGGGGAGCAGGTGATAGCACTGGCTTTGGGAAAACCGCGTCCTTATGCTATACAGCTCTGCGGGTGGGCAGTGTGGGCATGTGTGACTCTTGATCAACAGTCACAGCCACCGACATTACCGAATGCTTTAGAGCTGACAAATTCCATATTCTCGCCTCTCTACAGAAGAGGAAAGTGAGGTTCAGGGTATTCACTGGTTAGCTCTTGACAGTGGAACTAAAGTGGTCCTTTTCAAGATTGATTCACACTAGTGTGGGCAGATGGGGCATTAGAGACTGAAGAAACTGGAGAACTGTGTTAACATATCTCCATCACTTAGGGTCTGGGACCCAACAGGGACCTACTTCATTGAGCCTTTGGGATTGATGAGTTTACCAGTGAGTAATCAGAATAAGAAAAGGATTGGCTTATCACAGTGGGCCTCGAATTTTAGCCCTACAGGGGGATGGCACCCTCAGAGTGTCTGACTAAGCAGCTGTGCGTGTCAGGACCTGGGAATCTGCATTTCTAACAGGTTCCCGCAACGCTGTGCTGCTGGCCTGGGACCACACTGTGAGGACCCCTGCTGAATGCCTTGTTCTCAAAGGACCAGCAAGAGTGAGATCACCTGGGAGCTTGTTAGAAAGGCAGGATCTGCTACAAATCAGAATCTGCACTTAACAGGATCCTCTACTGCTTGGCAAGGCAGGAAAGTTTAGGAATCCGCTGTAGTGCATATGTTCTCAAATGTGAGCTAAGTAAGCCCTAAATCTGAAATGGGGTTGTGACCCTCCTTCTTCAAATATATTTTTCTCATGCTTAATGATTGAAACACAAAACAGTAATACAAAATTTAGAAACGATTATAAGGCACATGAGACCCCTGATCTGTGCCAGTGGGTAGTGACTTAAACTATCTTAGCTTTGGTATCCTTATATGAGAAAAAAAGAGGTGAAATACATTAGGCTTCCAATTCAGCAAATACGTTTCATGTGGATGAAAACAACAAAACCAGACACCTGTCCTTCATGCTGCGGGTGAGAGACGTGGAGAACGAGCGGTTTCACTCCCACAGTATCAACGCTTAGAATCGGCATTCGGCCAACTGCCCGCCTTAGAACCATCGCCGGCGCCAGCTTGTGCTCCGCGGCTGCAGGGGGCGGTGCAGGGGAGGGAGCGCCGCCGGGTGGTGGAGACGGTCTGTCGGCCCTGCCTCCTTCCTTCTGGCAACGTAGGCCTGAGAGCCACAGCGGTGAGAACGATTCTCTACCTGCCTTGAATAACATCAACACTCTTGTATTTTCATCATCTTTTCACTGTTTTTCATCTTTCTTTTTCGAAGTTATCAGACCTCTGAGGAAAGACATTTACCTTTGAATTTTACAGCTTGAGAAACAAACAAATTCTATGTCTAACTTTTTTCTTTTCCTAACAAGAGGCTTCCTTTTTGTGAGTTTGGAAGGGGACGATGTATTGGGGGTCTTGGAGATACGAGATTTCTGAGGAGTAGGAAAAGTCCCTACCCTGTCCCCTGTCTGATCCCACAGTCCTGGAATAGCCTTGAAAACAAAGTGATCCTGAAATATTAGGTTTATTCTCTCATGTTGCAACCTGATTTTCCCCACACTATGTGCATGTGTGTGCATATGCACGTGCACACGCGCGCGCGCACACACACACACACGTGCTGTTCTTTTCCCCTGCCCTCCAGAATGGTTCCTGCTTCTCTAGCATGCCTGCCTCCAGCAGCTTGCGGTTGGCGCGGGCACAAGCCAGCGGCCAGATGCCCCGTCCTTCCTCACAGCGCTCTCCTTTTTGCTCCCCGGTCAAGACCACCCAGAGTGGGGTGAAAATCGGAGGCTGAGAAACAGAGTCACCGCTGCAGGATGGGAAACTGTCTCCGGAGAGAACACAGGTGGGTCCTGACCCTGGCAGCGCCTGCAGGCGGGAAGAGCAGGGGGGAGTCTGAGGGTGTGTGTGCAAGACGGGAAGGCAGCCGCACTTTAAGGATGCGCTTGAGGACAGCACCCCCACGAACAGCTCCAGCTCACTCCTTCCCTTGCCTTACTTTGGAACCGTGGCAGGTTGTCAGATTGAGAAGATAAAATACAGGATGCTAAGTCAGACTGAATTCCAGATAAACAACTCCCCCTTTTCAGTCTCAGTAGACCCCATGCAATATATGAAGCATCATAGCAGAGGTCATACATTAAAACACTATCCATTGTTTATGTGAAACTCAAACGTAACTGTGCATCCTGTATTTTATATGGCAACCTTATTCTACGGCCACTTGGATCTTTCTGTACCTCTCTTTCCTCATCTGGGTACAGGGCTTATCTTCCCATTCGTCGACTTCATGGGATTTGTATGAGAACAAACAGTTTCTTGAAAATTGCAGATGCAAAAAAATGCATTCAAAGGGTTTTGATTTAAGTATTGCCTTTTCTTGATGAGTTTGGTCCTATCTTCTTCAAATGCTTATGAAGGTATAGAATGGATATGGATTACATCCTTTTTCTTACATCTTGCTTAATCTTAAAGGATTGTCTCTATAGCATCCTACTTCCCATTCATTCCCCCTAACTCCTCCCAGTCATGTCATGTCATGTCAATCATATTCCATTCCATTATATTATTATATTACATTACATCACTAGAGTTTTTAATTGAGATGCAACTCACCTATAACATTGCATAAGCTTAAGATGTACAAAGAATTGATTTTATACATATATAAATTGCAGTATGATTACCACTGTAGTCTTGACTAACCTCTCTATCATGTCACATAATTATCTTTCTTTTTTGTGGTGGGATCAATTAAGATCGAGTCTCATAGCAACTTTGAAGTTTATAGTACTTTTAAGTATTTTGACTATAGTTATATTGTACATTAGATCCCCAAGATTTACTTACCTACTAGTTGTGAGTTTGTACACTAAACATCATCTTCCCAATTCCCCCATCATCAGCCCCTGGTGACCCCCATTTCATTCTGTTTCTATAAGTTCAGCTTCTTTTAGATTCCACATATAAGTGATACTTCTTTCTCTCTACTTACTTCACTTTTCATAGTGCCGTCAAGGTATACATCCACACTGTCACAACTGGCAGAGCATCCATGTCTCTCATGATGAATAGTATTCCATTATATACATATTAAATATATATAACACATGTATATATTATATATATATGCACACATATATATACCTATATCTCCAATCACCCATGGACAGACACAGATTGTTTCCATATCCTGGCTATTATGAATAATGTTGTAATCACACAGGAGTGCAGATATCTCTTGAGATCCTGTTTTCATTTCCTTTGGATATATCCAAAGGTGGGATTTCCAGGTCATATGGTAGTTACATTTTTTATTTTTAAAACTGTTTCCTATAGTGGCCGAACCAATTTACATTCCCACTAACAGTGTACTAAGGGTTTTCTCCTCATCCTCACCAACACTTGTTATGTCTTGTCTTTTGGATCATGGCCATTCTAACAGGTGTATGGTGATAGCTCACTGTGGCTTTGATTGCATCTCTGTGATGATCAGTGATGCTGAACACCTTTTCATGTACCTGTTGGCTCTTTGCATGTGTTCTTTAATTCAAATAGATGGGTCTTCTCATTACCAACTCTTATCAGAAACTCCTGTGTTACAAAGGGTGCATCCAGTTCCTACTGGCTTCGATTTAAGTGCAGACCACTTGTTCTGTAATTTAAGGTACCGTGTATTCTGTTTTAATTACTCTCTTTGACGTCTAATTGTTCCCTACATGCTAAGGAGTCTCTCAAGGCAATTGTTACTTTGAATGTATCCTTGCAGCCCCTAGGATTTCCTAGAATTATCACCAAGCGGAGATGTAAAGAATGTGCACTTAGTTTAATTAAATATTTTCTGCCCTTTCTGCCATAAATATATTATATGGAGATTCACCTTCATCAATCTGACCACTTGCTAATTTTGACTTCAAGCTGGTGCTTGGCAGCCAGAACTCTTGCTCCAAAGTTCATTTTTGACCATGCTTGTCAAAATATTCATTCTGCAATGCACTGGCCAAATGCTACACCTTCCTGATCTCTGCCAGGAATCATTTTGCTGTTCCATCAGTTGTAAATGGTTCACATACGTTCACAACATGGGCCACATTCAGCCCAGATCATAGAAACATGTATAAGTCCTCCACCTTATGGGTTCCTTGTTCACAAGGACAATGTTTTTAAACACTGAAAATCCCTGAAACACTTGCTGATTTTCAGTGGAAAGAAGGTCCCTGATGGGTGTTTTCTGGCTGGTATGAAGGTGCACATATGCTTCTCATTCAAGGAAGCAGAGGGTAATATTACCTCCTGGGGAATACTGAGATTTAAAGGAGCTCTCCATCTTCAGTTGTTTCCCTCTCTGCACTGATTTAAAATTTTTCTGATGTGTACCTGTCACTATATCTGACAGGGTCAGTGATACTTTGGGAACAGCCATGAACCCCTCGTACTTCATAAATGTTAAAAAGCAGCAAAAGGAGGCTGATTTAATTCAACCATGTTGTAAAAAAAGCCATTTAGACCCAGAGAGATGGATGTGCCTTGATTTGCTCACATCTATGGCTGTAAAGGTCTGTAATTCTGCTTTTCAGCCATTGCTCTCTTTTTAGGGTCCTATATCTCACTTTCTGGAGAAGTCTGTCAGATTTCAGTTCTGTTTTAGAATCCAGGCAGACATGAAGAGGAAAGAGGAGGACATCGCCTCAGGAGGGTCACGATCGGAACCTGTGAACAGAGCCTGGACAGCCCGGGGTCCTCTCGACCCGGTGCCCACACCCATCAAGGCAGTCAGGGCCAGTGACACTCGAGGACCTCACCGGGCCCAGCAAAGCATTCCACTTACATTGACAATAATGACTGATAATTATCTCAGGAGTTCCCTTTTCCCCACACAGTGTTAATAAGTTCATGAATTATGATTTTTCCGTAACTACCATGCGGAGTGGTTATCATTATCCATGTACTATGAGCTTGGAAAAATACAATATTAAATATAAAAATGGGTCACATAGTTGGATAAAATGTATTGATTGGTGATGGGAGGTATTTTATTCTCAGTAAGCAAAATATGGGTAATATCCATCTATATGGGAAATCTCCATCTAGAGGGCCCTTTTTATTGGTGAACTAGGTTAGCAGCATTGCTTGGAGGCCATACAATCAGATAAAAGGGAAATGGATGCTTTCTGATCATAATTCACTGGAAAATCATAAAGCTGGATTCAGGTTGTATTTGACCCTGGCCCTGCTTTTCCTATAATCCCAAACAAGTATGTTGGTTTCCCTGAGTATGTGTCCCCATGCCCACAGTGGGGATAAGAATATTATCAGATACTAGGCTTAATTGTGAAGATAAAAATGAAACAATACAATTACATTAGCAGGGACATAATAGGTGATTAATCAGTGATAGCTATTAGTTAGTTTAGTGCTCTGAAGATGACCGTGTTTTAAGGTTTTTGAGCTACAGTTTTTCATTGGAATTATTTGTTTCACAAGGAACCTCATTCAATGCATTGCAGATATGACAGAACAAGAAGGAAGAGTTCCATCTCTGGCACTTATTCTAGCAGAACAAAGGGGTTGCAAATAATTACATAAATCATGCAATTTAGATAGTCCGCACTACTATGAATAAAATGCAGAAAAGGGAGGGATTTGCTGACCTCAAGGGGAAACCCAATTAATTGAGAATGAGCAGGACAGGCAAACATCTGTGAGGTCAGCATCCAGGGAGACCATATCAAAGGTCCTGAGGAGGGTCTAAGCATGGTGTGTATTTGGAGGGAGTGCAGGAGGGTGTAGGTTAAGGAGATGAACTGAGTCTCTACACTCCACACCCCATACATAGCTAGTTGTCCTACACTTGTTGTTTTCCTCTAAGTTTTATTGAGTTATAATTTGTATGCAAAAAATTGTATATATTCAAGTATGCATTTTGTTGAGTTTGGGCATTTATATACCCCTGTGGTATCATGACCACAATCAAAATACTAAACATATTATTGCCTCTAGTTTCTTCATGTTCTTTGTGTGTGTGTGTCCTCTTGACATATTTTGAAGTGCACAATGCCATAACTGTAGATACTATGTTGTACAAAAGAACTCTGGAACCTATTCACATAGCAAAACTGAAACTTTACATACATTTAGCAACAATTCCCAATTTCCCCCTCTTCCCAGCTCCCAGCAACCACCACTCCACTATGTTTTTTGAGTTTGATTTGAATATTCAATTCTACCTGTAAGTGAGATCACTCAACATTTGGGCTTCTGTGCCTGGCTTATTTCACTTAGCATAATATCCTCAAGGTTAATCTATGTTGTTGCAAATGGTAGAATTTCCTTCTTTTTATGGCTGAATAATATTCTACTTTATGTATATGGCCATGTGCAAAGGCCCTGAGGAGGCTCTATCTTCTTGTCTGTTCCTCCCTGGGTGGGCATTTGGGCTGTTTCCATATTTGGCTATTGGATACAGTGCTGCAATGAATGTGGTAGTACAGATATCTTTGAAATTCTGATTTTGGTTCCTTTGGATATATACCCAGAAGCAGGATAAGTAAATCATATGGTTATTTGATTTTTAATTTTTTGAGAAGTCTCCATACACTTTCCATAGTGCCTGTACCATTGGCATTCTGACCAATGGTACACAGCGTTCCAGTTTCTCCACCTTGCCTTCAACTTCTATTACAGTTTTTTATAACAGTCATCCTAACAGGTGTGAGCTGGTAACTCGCTGTGGCTTTGATCTGCATTTCCCTGATAACTAGTAACATTGAGCATCTTTTCGTGACCTCTTGGCCATCTGCATACCTTCTTTGGAGATGCAGGGAAAACGACACAATTGGCCTCAAA